TCCGGCTGCACTACCCTTGTCCCTCTCGACGACCACCACCACCACCATCTTGCCACGCATGAAAGACCTAGCGATAACGGCTGGTAGTTCAACAACCGACAGCCGCGGGCAAGCGTAGCTGCTGAGATGTGTGGGCGACTGGGGCTAGAGGGCCGATTTGGGTAGCCAGAACACTGCAAATGACTGAAATGGGCTGCCGGAGGAGTAGTGTGTGTGCAGGAGGCACAGCACGATTGCGATTACGATGGAATACGGCGGCCGCATGGAGCCAGCCATGCCTGCATGCAGGTACGCTGTCCCTAACGTACGACGGGCCCCCTGACGACAGGAGCGGAGCTACGGGCCGGGCTGCCGCAGTCTGTCTCGGTGCGCGGGTGTGGCGACCAACTGCGGCTCGTCGGATCAGAGACGGACGGAGGAGGGCGGCGGATATCTGATGGGACGGAAAGGATTGACAAGGAGGAAGAGAGAGACCAAGAAAGAAACCTCGGAAGGGAAACAGTGCATCGGAAGTCGTGATGGACGGACTTGTGGAGATCCAAGTGCGATCCATCCGTCATGGTTGCTGGCCTCTGCCTGCTTGCCTGGCTGCAATTTCGACCGACAACCCCAGGTCGGGTCTGCGGAGCGAGGTCCTGCGGCAGCGGATGATGGCGGGTCTAGTCGCGAGCGGAAGCGCTGTCGTTCGAGATGTTGGCTTGGGAGAAAATGGGTGGACGAGCGGGAAGCGCAGGCAGGCAGGGCTATCACGGTTTGCTTCTTGGGAAAATCATGCCTTGGAGAACGACCTGGATGTGCTGTGGTGCGCGGCCGCTTAGGGACAAGGTCGTCGGCCGAGTTTGATGTCGTTGCAATGCTCCCGTTGATCTTCCGGTCAGATTGTCGAGTGAGGATGACGAATGCGGGGAGGTATGTGTTTGAGCATCACTCGTCGACTACAATTTCCTGCCTGTTTTGGCAACAACGGCAGAGGCGTTGACATGTCGTCGGTCTACGCCTCCTTCTCTCATTGGCCCTGCTTTCAGCTGAATGGTTCTGACAGTCGACGTGTACTCGTAGGAATGGCGAGCGAGCAAAGTCCGTCAAATCGGACAATGACATCACAATCCAATCCGTGCGTCGAAGACGTGCATATGCAGGGGTCGGTCTTCGCTATGAGGACCAAAATCAGCACGCTGTACACACAAGCTTAATTCAGACTGCCCAGCCACAACCTTGGCCCGTTCCTCAGTCAGTGCACAAGCTTCCACGCTACCTCTAGTGTGCGGCCCCAGCCTTCTTCCACCGGTATCCGGTGGTCTCGTGTGCTCCAATCCGGCGTACCCACGTACCACTATACGACTGCATGCCAGCCAGTAGGGATGTCGAATCCTTTGTGACAAACCCCAGCCTCTTCTTCACTGCTGGAGCAGTCCGCGCACTGCTTGCCAGGTCAGGACCCCGATTCGGCGCACACGCCATCGTCTGGCAACGCCACCACGGGACGGGAGCGGCAACCTGATACTTTGCCTACTGGCGGCTGAAAGTTGACAATGCGCATGAGTTTGGGCGATTGAGCCTGGCGTGCAGTGTATAGCGTTGTGGCTGCCATGCGCGGTGCTTAAACGACATTTGGCTTCGTCGACTAACTCGCATAGCAGAGAAGGTCGAGGTGGTGGAGAGGTGCAGCCAATGGCAGCGGCGAGGGTGGGCGTGGTGAAACCGACGGCCTGGCGTTGCGCGAGCGGAGGCGGACGGTGCGCTAAGGTAGAAGAAGGGTGCTCCAGTCGCTGTCATGTTGCTCAGCTGAGCAGCGATCAGTTTGGTTAAGCTTATCCGGACAGACGGAGCCAAGGATTGGTGATGTCTTGTTGTTGTTATGCGGCCACGCCCAGTCGACAAAATGAGACTGTCGACCATTTTGGATACCTGTGCGGCTCGCGGGCAAGAGCATTGACCGACTTGTTTTTGGTGCAGTTTACTGTGAAGGTGGTGCCATCAAATCAAAGCGCCCGTGGTAATCAGATGAGAGCGAGTAGCGCCTGGGACAGGTCTTGAGTGTCAAAATGAGGTCAGCATTTAGCAACAACCTTCAGCGAGACACATCCAAGCCCCTTGTTCATGCCACAGGGGTTGCTCAGGTACAGGTAAACTCGGGGCTGTCGTTGAATCACCCTTCCCATGGTAATATCAAACGTCGCTATTAGCACAAGGATGCTTGTCTGATGAAAGTGGTTCAAGATACGAGGTGAACCCGAATTATGTAGGGCCGGGGTAAGTATTCATTTGGAGCGTACTGAGGCAGAACAGACCGGTCCGCCCTCGTTGTGAAAGCAAATCGACCTCCGGGTATGCCGTAGGAATGTGAACATTGTTCCCGCTTCGAATCGTCATCGTCGTGCGAAGCGCAGATCGCGCTTCCGCATATCCGAAAGTCTCTTCTGAATCGCGGTATCTCTTTGAACCCGTTCCGCTGTTGGAATCGTATGATTACAAGGACCAAAGCTCCCATGCCTTTGGAATAAACATATTTGATCCATGCTCTTAATGCCGAAATATGCTCGAAAGACTGTCAGTCCGCGACAAGTACTGCAGTCCCTGGTTTTCCAGTGCCAACGCCGAGCACGCTCAAGGGAAAACTTGAAAGCAAACCACCCCCGAGACAGGTCATCGTTCGGTTTGTACCTGGGATATTTGTTCAGAATGCCGTAGACCAGGCAGGCTTTCGCGACTTGAATGTACCTGTGTCCGTTCAGAGTCCGAAACAGACAGAATCTTCACAAGGCACCACGTAGGATCTACGTTCCGCAGCCGATTTCTCAATGCCTTTAGCATTTCCGTCTCTTCAGCACCCAGCCTAAAATGCTCCGGGACCAGAATGCTCCTCTCGGTTATGATTATGCGATGCGGCGATTCTGTGACATCCTCTGCACTGGCTTCTTCTGAGACTTGAGCGCTTTCTGATCCCATCTTTTCTGCGTCGGGGGCCTTCTGCGGCCCAACATTCCGTGGCGTCCACCAGTAGAGAGGAAATTGGCGCTGTACGTTGTTGACGACAAGAGCTACTCCAAGCATGAGCACTGAGCCCAGCAGGACAATGCCGATGTACATCCATCCCAGGTTGCGCACTGTCGTGTCCGTAGCGGCAAGGATAGCAGTAGCACCCCCAGGAGGAAAGGCCGTGTTGGTTATGGTCATGACCCACGACGCTACTCCGCAGCATAGCGGACCAGCTATCCATGTGAGGCTCTCAAATTCATCGCTCAACATGAATAATTTTGCCACAGCAACGCCTGAAATTGCGGACAAAGTGTTACCTACGATTGCATTGCGCGGAGTAGCAAGTGGAGAATCAATGATGTTGAATTCGAGAATCGCTGCGGCACCCTGGAAATAATTCAGTCGATGCCGAAAGTATCGCAACAGGGATTTCATACCAGACTAGCCACAATCACTGGTGGATGAACCCTCTGTATCACAGGGCTGAACTTGTAGACGGCAGTGATGACTACGAGTCCCAGAAAAGCGCCAACAAACGCCCAACTTGCAATCAGTATGTTGCCAACCTGTGGTATGCCGAATTCGCGATACCCGAGGAACCGGGCCAGTGGCTTCGGAAGGCGGGAGATGCGATTGCGGGGTATGAAGCGGTTGAGGTAGTCGTCAATGTCAAAGTGGACATCTTGTGGTCGCGGGAGCTTCATAGCGCCAGTCGTTTCAGGAGATGTCGAGGATAGGGGACTTCATGTATGCCCGAGACAAGGTGGAGAAGGCACGAGGAGGAGAAGGTGGTCGTGACATGCTCGGGATGACTACACCACCGTCATTCATAAAGCATCAGCCCGGCAGCGTGGAAGTGGAGTTTGGGCGCCTCGCATGTTATTTTCCATTGCTCAACACCTTCACAGGGTGACGTGCCGCTGCAGCCGTGTTCATTCTCCGTGTCTGGCAGTGAGGTTGCAGGCGAGGCAGGCCCGCCATGCTCAAAAGGAATTGACGAATTCCCGGCCCGTGCGCGTTTGAAAGTCGTACGCGCCACTCCTGGCTCAATTGCGCAGTGTTCCAAACTTTTTCGGGCTCTTCTTCCAATGGCGTCCAAGCCCTCGATAGCGATGACTCTGAGAAGCGTTTGGCTTGCTTGATCCGACGGCCAACGTGATCTGTCGTCAGCCTCTTTGGCGCTTTTCATAACGTAAGGAGAATCGCGCCAAGGGAACCAGTCCATGCTCTTTTTTGGCTTTCTCCGCGGTCATTGGACACGCCAAACTTCGGCGAAACATCCGCCTCTCCGTGTTGCAACTGTAGGAGGATTAGGAAAATTGTATAGATTCCATGGTGTTGACTCTGCGCACAAGACTTTTTCTGCGAAATCTGTAAGCCTCTGGATTAATTTATGGGTTTGCAAAGATAAGAGGAGCATACCAGCCAATCAGCGTTTCACATGGCTCGCTGAGCATTGCCTTTCTCCGGGGCGCGACCGAACCAGGGTTGGCGCTGAGATGCCGCCACGGAATGGGATCCAGTGACGTATGTTTGTTTAATGTGAAGCGCGCTTTGGTGACCGATTCGCACTGCCCTTGCGATTTCAAATGTGAAGGTCAAAACTGCTCTGACGGAACCTGGCCGCAGGAGGATTCCAGCTGTCGGTAACAACGGACGAGCGAATTCGTCCTCTTTGGAAATTGTTGTGATCCGTCTTGGTGCACCTCGGATTTTTGATGATGCTGGAAGGCGCGCGAGCGTTAGCCAGAGGTGCACGACGTGAGAGTCGGTGTGGCTGGTCGGGCGAGCGAGCGAGCGAGCGAGAAGCGAGGCGGTGAGCAGGGCGGTAAGGCACCTGCAGACGGGACGGGAGCGCGTCCAAGCCGACCTCGTATGGAAAGCTGAAGGTAGCTCCGCGGAGAAGCGAGACGTTGGTTTAGGATTGTTTGAGAAGCTTGGCATGTCTGTGAGGAGCCGCTTTCATATTGGGAATTATGTGTAAAGAATATATTTTGTGCGATACATTTTTGATTAACAACGGTTGATTGGTCTAGTTGGTTATGACGTGGGTCTCATAAAACTTCTTTATGATCACTTCTCTAGAAGTGAGCGATCCCAAGGTCACCAGTTCGATCCTGGTATCGACCATTCTCTTTTGGCTTCTTGCCTTTTGATGTTTTGAATGAACTAGGCGTCAAGGGCGTGGGAACGTTACAAAGCGAAACCCGCAAACCGTCCTTGGTCTCTGGGGCTTTTGAGAAAACTACTAGGTTTCAAGCTGCTGTTTATCGCTGCGGGGGAACGACTCCCAGCTCTTTTGTTTGAAGAGAAGGCTTGCCAGGTACAACTGCACTGGTGATTTTGAAATTGTGTCATTGTTCAAAGCAGTCGTTACATCACATGTAAGTGATAGTTGTGGACAATATAAACTCCAGGTCCCCGCCAATCCCTGCTAGCGCGCCTGTCAACTCACCCGGAAACAACGTCGGAACAACCAAAGAACTCACATGAGCCTCTTCGAGAGGCTTCAACATGATGCTCCTGTGTTCACCTGACTGTCAAACCACATCGTTGCCTTTCTCGCCACGCGTCGATACCAAGGAAGTGTTGGCCGTCGCGTGCTGTTGCGACCTTTTCTCTATCCCCTTCAGATGTAATCACCAGAGTTTATCACTTTTACCGTTATGCATGATCGACTGCAGCGGTCTCCAAGCTTTCTTGCGACTCAAAGTTCACCGGAGCGGCATTTCTCCTCGAGTGCCTTCCCGCCTGCATGGTATTGATTCCTAGAACGGCAAGACATTGGGTACATGGACTGCAGGGACGCAAGTTGCCATTGATTGGTCAAAGGTTTGCTCGAATCATTGTCTAATTTTCTGGTTAGCTCGTTCCTTGTCGGAAGCTTAATGTCTCCCGCAAGTATTCGCAACGTTGTTCTCCGCACGGGAGTTCCTCCTATCGTCGATAGAGCGCCAATTTCTGTCCCCTTGACGTTCCCGACTATCGAGGAGAGTTTTCTGGATTTGTGTGGACAGATCTTGCCAGGAATCCCGGAGACCCTAGTTTAACAATGCCCGCCCACACTGCTAGCCGAGCTAACAGAGCAAACTTTTATCAAATGAGTGCTACCAATCAGGAAAGAAGATGGCTCACAGGCAACGAATCAATTAAAGAGCTTCTCGCCAAAGACTGCTTGATGCTCAAAACTTTGACAAAAAGTCTATGCATGGGTCAGTTGCATTCTTAAACCCCAATTCTCGACCGCGGATATCACGCAGCGGCGCCCAGCAGCAGGTCGGCGGTCAATCCTTTGTGGTTTTCTATACAATGGTCGTTTCCGAAAGCTTCCACGTGGCGCTACACGCCGACGACTACACTAAAGTCGTGAGTATTGCCAATCAGCTTCACACCTATGGAATCGGTACCGATGTTGCGCCACTTCAAGTCATTGTCTGCGGCGATCGATCGAGCGGCAAAAGTTCAGTCCTGGAAGCTCTGACTGGACTCAAATTTCCTACGGGAAACAACATTTGCACTCGCTTTGCAACAGAGGTCGTCCTTCGCCGAAGAACTGAGCAAAGTGTCGATGTCGCTATTGTTCCTGGACCGTCAAGGACTCCGCAGGAAAGAAAGCGGCTCCATCTTTTTCAGGCGCGCAATGCGCAATTCGAAAATCTCCCTTCACTCCTTGAATCCACCAGAAGTTTCATTGGGGTTGGTGTTGAAGGAAGAGCCTTCAGTGACGATATTCTGAGGATCGAAATAAGCAATCCCAGGAACCCATCTCTGGCGCTCGTTGATCTTCCCGGATTGATTGACGACGAAGACGCAAAGGACGCGAACTTCGTGATGAGCATCAATCGAAGGTTCATGGAGAATCCCCGAAGCATCATTCTGGCAGTGATTTCTGCCGATAATATACACGCCGATCAACTCGTGACCGAGGTAGCGCGAGAAATCGATCCGCAAAGGAAAAGATCTTTGGGAATCATCAACAAACTAGACGTGATGTTGGACGCAGACCCGGAGCAAATACGTCGATTCCTTGGCCTGGCAACGAGAAAAGATTTCACAGGGCGAATTGGTTGGCATTTTTTGTCGAATGGAGGCGGTCATGCGCAACCACGACCGGAAGGACGCACCACCGAGGAGAGATGTATCCTCAACCATGACAGGTGGAAAACCCTCCCACCGGGTACCAACGGCATCAAGGCTCTAAGGTCCCGGATCGCAGCGATGTTGACAGATCAGATCATGAAAGATCTTCCGACTCTCATTCACAACATTCGATCTGAAATTACCGACTGTGAGGCCAAGCTTCGTCGGCTTGGAGACTCGAAGGTCACGATCCAGGAACAGAAGCTTCATTTAATCAAAGTCAGCCAGTATTTTTCAATGCTGGTCAAATCAGCCATCAATGGAACATACACAGATCCCGCAGATTTCTTCAATGATGCATTGACAGTCCATGGCACCCAGAAAAGACTCAGGGCCTTCGTCCATGAGCTCCTCCGAGAATTTGCGGATGAGATGAGGACTCATGGTGAATTCGAAAAAATTGTTGATGAGCCACCAAGCCTGAATGAAAAGGGTTCAATCAGACAGATATCTCGTGACCACTACCTGGAACATGTTCGCGAGCTGATCAAAAGAACAAATGGATGCGGACTCAGGGGGACTTTCAACCCATTGGTTGTTGGAGACTTGTTCCGTCGTCAGTCCCAGCCATGGTCCAGGATCGTCGAGAATTCGATCGAAAGAATCCTCCACGCCGTGCGAAATTTCTTCGATCTGGCATTGAACCACACCATGGACAGTGAGACTGGCGAAGCTGTCATGCGCCGCATCATCAACCCCGCAATGGAAACTTGGACTGCCAAACTGCAGGATAAAGTCAGAGAAATCATGTCACCGCATACACAAGGCCATCCAATAACATACAACCTCGATTTCGCGGACACGATTCAACAATCACGCATGGAAACCTTCCAGAAGCTATCGTCTACATTGCCATCGGAGCGTCGTGAAGCCATGAAATCGCAATCGCTCACGGATCGCGACATTGAGTTGTTGGTGGGAGTACTCCGTGGCGAAACAGGCGTGGAAGTCGACCTCTACGCGTGCAAAGAAGCTGCTGACTGCATGAAAGCATACTATGAAGTGAGCAATCCTATCCCTTGTCCATTCTATCAACGAAATTCCTTGTTTCTGACTTCTATACCAAGATCGCAATGAGGACAGTCATAGACAATGTTGCTGTACTTGCCGTTGAGCAGTGTCTTCTGAGAAATGTTCCCCATGTATTTTCTCCTGAAACAGTCTTCAAACTTGATGATAAGACTGTTGCGGAGATTGCCGCGGAATCCGAGGAACTATGTCAGGAGCGGGTCATGACAGAGATCAAACTGGAAGCCTTGAAGAAAGCCTTGCAGTCCTTGACTCGACTTCCTCCTCACCGGGGCGTTGACGGTGCGTCTCTCCTTCTACCTGTGTCGAAAAATCCATTGGAATCGACGTCGGGCTAATTCAGACTGGCAGTGCAATCGGATCTATCATTGGGAGACAACGCAGTTTTCCTCCGGAAAGACACGCAACTCGAAGCTGATGAGGAGGAGAACCAAGCCAAGCAAGAGACAGGAGAGGGAGAAGAAGGAGAAGAAGAAGAAGCGAAGATTGTCTGCAAAGATGAATCAAGCTCAACCGACCTTCCTGCAGCGCTCACCCCAGAAGCTGAGGCGGACTCACCTACCGAAGAGCCACAAGTCTATGACTCGGTCGACGTGGATGACGAGCCCCGGTCGAAACCAGAAGCTCAAGCAGCTATGGGACAACTAGAGGCATTGAATGATAGACCATTAGAGTCCAAGAAGAAAGGTCGCAAGTCGAAGATGCTCAAGAAAGGCCAGGGGCTCAAGGGTTTCGTTGACGAGGAACCGAATGAGCCGTTAAATAAATTGGCTGAGGAAGAATCCGCCGACCAGAGGATTACTTCCATTGAAGACAGCTGGAACACATGGGGAGGCTTGGGCGCGAAGAGGAAAGTTAAGAAACCAGCGCCAACGAACTGTGCGGCCAACGTTTTTGGTCAAGATGACGCAACCTGGACCTGATGGGCTGAATAGCACGAAGTTTCTTAGTCTTGGATCTCTTATACGAGTCTTGGCTATAGTTCTCAACGTTCACTTTTCCGCGTTCGAGTTCGAATGATCCTTCCCCCTTTTCGTTTCCAGTTACCTTCGCTAAAGTTGCGAGTCTTCATTCGTTCTTTCTCTTTCTCAAAATTTCCAGTATCTGTAGACGAGCGCGAACAGCGCCATCGGATGAAGTACGAAGTCTTGCCTTTTCTTCTCTCGTTAGCTTGCTGTGTAAAGGCAATACAAATCAGAGTAAAGCAGGGATCACATTCAAATATGACACACTAAATCGAACGTGACAGCATGATTTCCCATATCTCATTCTTGGAATAGAGCATTCATAGGAGTGGAGAGCAAGTGGCACAAGCAGGGTCCGGCTTCGCCCGCAAAAGCTCGCAAGGGGAGAAGCGTTTCATAGCGACTTGCATCGAAGCGTGGACGCTTAAGTCACCGACAACTAAGCAGCTATCACACAACCTGAATATGTATTTCATCTTGTCATTACCGCATTCTACGTGCGCCGCGCTCTCCCTCCCAGCCGCCCGTATCCACCACGAACACACGATGCAGCGCACCGCGCCAAACCACCAGACCCTCAGCACCCAGTCCTCTATCACAACGACCTTCATCCCACCACCACGATGCGCAGCCGAGAGACCATCATGATTGCGAAAACAAAGCACGTGCAAAAAGCAAGGCGAGAGGAGGAAGAAATTCGTGTGAAAAGGTTCATTTGCCAAACCCATCCATCCATTCATGCCCACGCGTTGCCCTCTACCACCACTTGCTGTCTGCCATCCCAACCCGCTCTTCTCAACTGCAAGCGTCCCGTTGAGCTTCTTGTTCACGCGTGGCGCGATCAATGCACAAATCAAAAAAAGTTTGAATGGGAGGGAAGGAGGAAAATTAGAAAAGCCTAAGAGAATGCCCAACGCCAGTCCCTTCATGCAAGAGAAGAAAAGAAAAGTGAAAAAGACCCTCCTTAATCGCGTAAAGGTCCTCCAGTTGAATCAG